GAGAATGAAACTGTCAACTTCAGCATAATTTAGAAGTGATTTATAATAGTTATGTCATGCACCCACTCAAAACCATCTAAGTATCTCAGCTCCATTGAGGCACCTAACTGTAGGTGTCTTAGACACCTCCGCTAGTAATGAAATGTTGATTAATTAGCACAATAATGCATGCTTTGCCAAAATTCACTATTGGGGTGCCCAATAAATAAAATCTGTTGAATGGTATCATCCCCTACAGCATAGTGCAAGGATTTTAGTTGTAAAGAAAAATTTTGCTTCCAAAAATGTAGGCCATACCTATTGTGATATCAGGTGCAACGTTTGATATTATAATGAATCCTAAAGCAGTATTTGCAGATACACTGATGTTGTATGTGGATCCAGTTATAAGGTCACTGATTGTGGCTCTAGTAACGTTTCCAAATTCTTCGGACGATACACTTTGTTCCCCCTTCTGCTGGTAATAGATGGTGTAGCCTATCACATATCGTATTCCCGATGGTATCCAGGTCACTAGTACACTGTTCAGTCCATTCTGAGACACTTGTACATCTAATGAGGTAACTGTATAGAAGATGCACAGAAAAGTGTTAATATAATACCTTCCTTGATACCATTTGGCTTACAAGATACTAATAGCTGTGCTAAATCGCTAGATGGTTTGTTATTGGATACATTGCAACCATAGCGTCCTTCCACTGTCCCAGTCACAGTCAGAGTGTGGGTGTACTGTGCAGTCACTGGGTCATTCAACACAGTCTGGGTTCCTTGGGTGATAGTGGTGGAGTCTCTGGTCCAAGTGACAGTGGTAGCAGGTCCACCAGTGGAGATACAGGCCAAGGTGAACCGAGGACTGGGTCCACTGAGGTCTGAAATCTCAAATAATATTGTATATCCTGATATCTCAACATCTCCTGCAATAACAGTTGTAACAGTCATACTAGCTCTGTCCTTTAGCTACACCTGATCATGGTTTCATCCTCGACAAAGGGAATGCATGACATAACAATGGGGTGGTTCACCTCCACTGGCAGTATACAGTCCCACATAGACTGGTGCATCTCTCACTGAGAAGTCAGTACCATCATGGACAGCATTAGTTGGAATATCACAGCGATAGATGCCAACTGGTGAGGTTGGATTGTTCCTACGGCGTAGGTCAATTATCTGAGCAGTACGATTTTCATAGATACTATAACCATCTTCAGAGAATAGCAGTCTAGGTCCATTAGGGAAATACCAGTCTCCACGATGAGAACCCTGAGCTTTACTACAACATGTGGTCAGGTCAGTATGACACTGAACACTGTCACTACTACCGGTTACATCGTTCCCCACTAGACTGAGGTCCATATAGGAATGGTTGGCCAGAGTCGTGCCATTGAAGGAGATGTAAGGAAAGGTCTGTTGAGAGTGGACCTCCACCAAAGACCAGAGGAGACTCAGCAGCAGTACCCACACACTCATCATACTTCACCTACAGTGAAGATACGCGACTCTATTGCACTTTGTAGCTGGCTCCCCGCCGCGTAGCTACCAATGTATGTACGCTATACTTTAACTCTTTTACTGCAGTCATTTCAACCAAACTGAAACTTACAATGTTCAATAGAGCTTGGAAATCAGTGTCATTCTGCAGATTGTCCTCCGCGAAAACCAAAGCCCATTGCGTATATTATACGTTGCGCGTGTAATACTGCGCATGCGTGTATTGCGTGCGCATTGCAGTACGTATTATGGGTACGAGGGTGTTGCTGCGTTGCTAAAAGACAAAATAGCTGCATGAAGCCTACAAAA